GTTTGTATATAAATATAAATATGTGAAAGAATTTTTGCTGCTATTAAATTCAAAATGTTCACTTAGAAGTTCAAAATGTTCACTTAAAAGTTATTAGCTGAAAGAAAAATTAGAAAATGGTTTAAAAATAGAGCAGAAAATTTTAAAAAGAAAATGCAGGAATAACTAAAACTGTGCTATAGGAAACATAACTAATAAATGAATTGAATATGGTAATTAAAAAATTAGCAATTAAAAATAAAAAGGAAATTACATCAATTGACACAACCATACATCATAAATAGATTTAATTTATTGTCATATCTTGCAGATGACCCACATTCTGCATGCAACGCTTCATGCTTATCTTCTGCAATGCATTTAACACTGCAGTTCAATCCATTCATGCATTCAGATGACATGATCTTACTCAGTTGACATTTCTGGTAACAGTAGTAATAATAATAGTATAATAGCTATTTTAATCATAAATATTGTTACTGCAATTAAAATTACAGCAACGATTACTGTATTTCTGTTGCATTAACTGTTGTTATTGATATATTTATCAACAAGAGCAGTAAAATTAACTTTAGTTGTTGTTTTTTTTGTTAGCACCTTCAATGATAACGCATTACTTCACAGCCACTTTCGACGTTTATGAATTGTTTTTTAAAATGTAATTTTGCAGTTCACTCTAACTCAAATCTTATTTTGTTTTCGTCTTCTTCATTCATTTTCTTACATCCAAAAATAGAAGTAATTTTCAGGAGCATTTAAACAAAGTGTAAAGAGAAAAAACAAAGAAAAAATCTATTTTCTATTCTTTTTTTCCAATTTTGTTTTACTCATATAAAAAATGATAAAATTAATTTTTTTTTCTCCTTCACCTATCTCACTTTTGTAATAATAAATTTGTTTTTTGGAGTAAAATAGATGAGGAAATTAATATTAATCTTTTTGCTCAAGGCATTTTCTTTTCCTTTTATTACCAGTATGATTATATTCTGAAGCCCGAATTTTACCAATATTATTATATTCTGAAGCTTGACGGATGATATGTAAAGAAGCCGAAATATTTCTACTAGATCGATAAATATGCATTTAAATTTATGAGCAAGTGCAAGCACTATTTAAGTACTATTTCATGTCTGAGTAAGTACTATTTGTTGCTTTCGTCTTAAGGAAAAATACACCGGTCGAATTTCATCATACCGTATGATGACATCAATAATTTTGGAATAATGCCATACAATGTAATAGCGATTTAGCAAATTGACAAAACCATAAACTCATTACCTATTTTATTAATTAATAGTGCATGTCTTTCTCTAAATTACACGCAAAATATTTACTTTACTGTAATAAATGCATGTGCTCGATCTGTGCAAATACTTTTTAAAACATATTGCAATTCTTTCCTTGCATTTATTGCTATAAATGCCATTTGCAACTTCTCACTCATCTTTTTTTCTGCCGTTCCCACCCACAAACTGCGCCATTTTCTTCTAATATTTCCTAAATAATTATTTATTTCCATTCAAATCATAATTAAAACATATTTAAAATTATAATACATCATAGTGCTGTTTTCATATTTTCCAAATAACAGCGAATGCTTCTTTCATGATTAATGAATCAGCGTTTCATTGTGTAAAATTTTCAATAATTTTTACATACAAATATATATACATATATCATATCATATGTACATATACATATATCTTTAACACATTTATCGATTTAAATTTTAGACTGTTGAATTATCATGAAGAGAAAAAAAAAGCTGAAGCTATTCTTATATTTGTCGTTGTGTCTCATTGCGAGTGTAGTTGAATTAATTTAGCTTAGATCCGTGAAGTTTTCAAACAGATTAAGTTTTTGCACAAAAACTAAGTCCTTATTCGCGAGAAAATTAACATTCACATCGACATTTCAATGTAATTTTGCTTCATGTATAAATATTTGTGAACAATCACTATCACTTTAACATTCTGAATTTTATTTTAGTTTCATTATGCTTTGCAACTCTCAACTCATTCAATAGTTATTTTAATTTTTACTAACCACTTATTCATTATTAAATTACTGATGTTAAGATATCAATTTATTGCAAACTATTACTATCAAATTATGCTACCAAGTTCAGATATTCTGTTCTCAATTTATTTTACAAATGAAATATTTCAGTTTACAAATTCATCAGGGATTTTGATTATTTGTTGTCATAAAAATCTATGAGAATTTTAAATATGCGAAAATATTGAGGGCACCACATGCTTTCAAATTCAACCCTACTTAGTGAAATTTGTCGATGAGAATTGTTTTGTTTTGTTTTGCTCTCAATAAATTATTTTTTCTGCTTACATTTCTTTCATGCTCATTTTCTTTTTCACATGTTAGAATTTTTATTTTCCTTATATTTATTAATAAAATATCATTATTTTCATTAATGTGATGAAATGTTATACTTTTGGTTATCAACTGATTTTTCTACCGCTCAAGAATGCTCATTAAAAGACATTTTCTCTAACTCATTACAAACTGTTACAAATCATATCCAGAAAGAAGGGCTTGCACTTAAAGAAGAAATATTACTACTTCATTTAGTCGTATTGTTCACTTTGATAAAAAATGACCTAATTCCATCAATTCTCAAAAAGCCACTAATTACCAAGTAATATATAAGATATTTGTTAAAAATTTATCTTATAAAGGATCTGTTTCACCTTCTTTTCCTTTCATCGCTTTTTGAAATTAAGATAGAAACGATCAGTTCATAGCAATAGCAATGTTTGAGCAATTTTCATTCATTTTTATTGAATTAATTGAAGCGAAACTATTTTTCATTGGACAATGGTCAGGAAGTTTAGTGAATAGCGTGGAACAGTTGCATTACTGTCATTTCAAATAGTCCATACTGAATTAACTTAATAAAAATACATTGCAAAATCATCATTGAGAATTAATTTTTTTTTTTGGAAAAATAAAAAAAAAAGAGAAAAAAGAAATATTTTCTTTGTTAACAACAAATTTTAAATCAATTATGATTTAATAATCTGTAACAAAATGATAATTGAAATATCATTGTCACGCTTCGTTTCGTTGTATTGTGCTTTTGACCCATAACAAATGTTTAATAATTGAAAAACATATTATTGATTGATTGGTCACTAAAGTTAATTATTTTTGGTTTTTCAAAATGCTAAATATTATAATTAATCTTGTGTGTTGTTAATATGTTTGTGTAATGATAGCTACTTCTAAGTGCTGTGTCCTTGCTCAAGCTCGAATTTCTTCCCAATTTCGCATAATTATTAAGAAAAATAAAAGCTAATATTTTTGGTATTTTCTGTTATCAAATTAATTATTAAATGTCCTAGCTCCATTTCAATCAATTCTAACTGCAATTGCAGTTTACTGGCAGTGATGAGAGAAGGATGAATCTGTTGTATCAAGAAGGCTATAGTATATTAGCAATGCTTAATTTATTGCCGGAAAAATTAATAATTTATGTTATTCCCTAAAATTTCTGTTACTGTTATAGCAATGAATAAGAGATTATAAATCATTCCCGAAGATACATTGAAAATTTCTTGCAGATCGTATTTCTATTCATACTTCTGTTTTAAACTGCCAGAACGACTCTGTTAAAACTTCAACAAAATCACTTTGTCGGAAGATTTCCTGAATTTGCCTTAACGGAAGCGATAATGATAATGATAATGATAATGGTGAAGACGTATAAGGTACTATTACCGTTTTTATTATTAGTGCTGAATGAGGCGAAAAGTTAAGAGAACTAGTGATGGCAACGCTAAATTTTGAAACAGATGTATTCTCGAAGTGAGTTTGATACCTCCTCAATATTCAAAGGACAACAACCGCGTTATCACAGAGGTACAGTGTATGGAAATTAACTTACTTTCAGTTATATTTAAATTATTTCTCAATTTGAAATTTTTTTTCTTACTATTGATTTTTGTAAGCTTTTATCCTTTAAATTTTTGCGCATCTTCCCTTTCCGTAACTTAATTTTCAGCCTTTTTTTCAGAACTTTTTCTCAGCTTATTCTAAACCTGTCTATAATATGTCTTTTCAAAATTAGTTTCATTCATCTTCCTCTCAAAACGGTGAAAGCGTTCATGTATTCGCACTATGCTATTTGAGTTAAAAGCACTATGCTATTTGAGATAAAATAAATACTGTATGATTTTCGTTAAGCAAATACGCTTAATTGCTCATTCTTATTAACAATTAAAGTTTAAGCATTTTGGGGCAGCGTACGTTTTCTTTTGTAATTTTTTTCAAAAACGCATTTTTTCTAGACTTCATTAGGATTGAAAAATATGACAAAAAGCATTGTGTGAATGAAAGGTTATGTGATGTTTAATGCTTACATGTTATTTTTTTCATCATCAAACATGCACGGAAATTTCCAGCGTTTGAATGTTAAATGCATTAGGAATCAAAAATTAATACAAATATCTGTTAGGTAAAACTGATAATCAGTAGCATTTCTCTTATCACTTGCACTGTTAATCTAAAGACATTGTAGTGTAAATTCTCATTGTAAATAAATTTAATTTAAAAGAGGACTACGTCAAAATTTAAATTTTTTTAAAATCATATTTCCATAACTTTTTCCCCTACCTGATAAATAGAGGAAAATGAACAGAGATAGAGAAATTATTACGGAAGAAATAGCACAAGTATCATCATTCTCCTCATTTCATTCCCATATATTTCTCATACTTTATTCCTATTCCGATCATGCAAGGAAATGACCCTTGGGCTAATTTATATATAAAATATTCTATTTGATCTTATCTCATTCAAAAATTTCCCAATTTTATCAGTCATTTCATCGGTTTATTTTAAAATTAATACCATCAATTCTTTATACTATTCCATACTTTCTATTATATTTAAAAAAAGAAGAAAAAGAATGTGAGTGATATAACTAAGTATTCTAGTTGACTGATTTGTTGTTTTTTTTTTTTAAAAGCCAATTGATTAACAAGTGCAATTTTAAAACCACAACCAGAAGAAAATGGTTCTTAGCTTATTGATATGTCAACTGCATGCCTATCATTTCCCTCAAATGCTAAAGATTCATTCATATTTGCTAGTGTTAATTACTATTTGCTAGTCTTAATTTTTCATTCAGAATTCTCTTACTACAATTACTTCTATTGCTAATCTCATTCCTTCATATTCACTTATTTGATCATATATTTTATTAATATTTTTGAAAAAAAAAAACAAGCATTGGAGGGAAATGCTAAAATTTTCAATCATCTAAATATGCTGCTTTTTTTTTTCATTTAGCTTAAACAGATGAATGCAGCATTCCATTTGCAAAAATAATTTCTTTCAAGTTTCAAGTAAATTCTTTTTAATTCTTTTAAAATCATTTTAAACTGCTTTTTTTTTCTTATTAAATGTTGCGCATATTCTATGTTGCTAAATCGATGAAAATAATCATTTATATGACATTTTTACATACAACGTAGTCATACAAACAATCATTAAATTGCTTTCATTCAATACTTTATGATTTATATTAAATCAATTTTGAATTTTGATAGGTTTGACAGAAGTTTGTCGGCAGATATGATTGAATATTATGGCTCATTTTTGTTTAATTATATCTTTTTATTTTCTCAAGAAAAGTTTTCCTTTCAATGATTACTTCAACAATTTTTTTTGATAGTATTTGATAAAATGCGATAAGAACTGACATTTTAGTGCTTGCTATTAATCTAAGCATTAATATTTTAGGAATTATATTCGCTTTTAGTGAAGGAGAAATAGTCAGTAAAATGATTTCCTATAAAGTTATACAAAAAAATCGCATGTGAGTAAATTTTAACTAATTTTAATTAAGTTTCAATTTTGCGTTATTGTTTGTTCTTGCAAAACAATATCATTTGATTTCATTTTATTTCTTAATTTGCGATGAAATAAGTAAGTACTTGATTAGGCAGATTTTGATGTTATTTGAGGACTTCTGAAAATCGATACATTTTATGTGTCAAAATTAGTATTCATTAAAATTCTTTTTATCTTCCTGTAATTCATCATTTAAAATAAATATATTATTGAGCGATTAAATTAACACAAAGGAGAATATAAAATCGAGAAGTACAAAAAAATTATCTTTTAATGTGTAAGTTTTCAAATGTTAATAAACAATTGAAATAAATTTTATGAAATTAAAAATTGAATAATTTTAATCTTCATTTAGGACGTGAGCAAAGCTCAAGAACAGGCTATCATCCTGCAGCGGTATTAGAGGTTGGCGCAATGATGTTACAGAATATGTTTAGCGCCTTATCATTCCTCCATTACCGTAAAGATGACGATTTCGTTGATCGCTTATCTTACTTTTACACTCCATCATTCCTCATTATGATGGCCATCTTAGTTAGTTTCAAGCAAGTAAGGATATTTCCACATTTTTTCGTACACTTTTCAATACTTAAACAGCAAAAAAAATTTCCGACCTTTATTGTGGTATAGGCAAAAACAATATTATGATCTACTGTAAAAAAGTAAACAAATAAACAACCATGAAAGTAAATAACCGAAGTAAACAATCAATAATGCAAGAAAGTAAACATTTAAGTTTAGAAAAAAATTGAATTAATTGATCGGAATAATACTGAAATAATTGCACATTCATAAATGAGAGAGATCTCTAAAAAATGCGCTTGTTATGCAGCGTTGCCTGATAGAGCAATGATTGCTGTTATTTAGACGATCTCGATGAAACCAAAATTGAATTAAGTGGATCATATTGTATTCAAACTTGATTAATTAATTCCATTTCAGATGATTATATTAAGATTATAAAGCGGAGATTGTTGAAAATATCATTTTCTCCTTTTTTTTTTTGTCACGCTTCTATTATTTTTATTGTACAGCATAAAAAAAAAATTACAGTTTGGTGGTCGACCGCTGGAATGCTGGGTACCTGCGCAGTTTACAAGCTCATGGGAGGCTTACACAGAAATGTATTGCTGGGCTCAGAATACCTATTGGGTACCTATCGAACAGGTAATCTTAAATCCCATTAATTCTTATTGTAATATATTTACTTCCACATATTTTTTTTTCAAATAATTTTCTCCAGCTAAAAGAAAAGTAACTTTTCATGAAATAAATCTTAAGTTTCGTATATTATTTATCACTATAAAATTATCATCATGATCTTCAATTTCTAATTGTAATTTACTTATTGTTTTCTCCTTTTACAAAAGTACCAAATTAATTTGTATATAAAATGTCGTTGTTGTGCAAATAAATTTTCTGTCATTCAAATAAATTTTAAATCTATGATGCAAATAAATTCTAAAACATTTAAAATAGTAATTCACATCTAGCAATTATTCAATAATAGGTTAGGAAATCTTCACCACTGAATGTCACATTTCAGAAAAAGTAGATCTTTTGCTAGATGTTCATTTTTTTTGCTAATTAGAATTTGGGAACCAAAGAATTTAATAAAGCCTCTTTAATTAATTAATTAATTAATTAATTAATTCATGCATCGACCATATAACGGAAGGTATTTCCTTAGAAGTGAATTGTTTAAAAATAATATAAATTATTCGTTGAAGAAAAAATTAGATTGTTTATCTTTCAGGATATCCCAATGGATATAGCAGAGCGGGAATATCGACAAATATCCTATTATCAATGGGTGCCATTTTTTCTTCTTATTCAAGCCTTTCTCTATTACATTCCATGCCTCGTTTGGCGACTAATGAGCGACAAGTCTGGTAATTTCATCAATATCTTCAATTCTTCTCATGCAGTTACGATTTTAAAAATACTTGTAATATGCTTTTAGCATCTCGGTAATTTAATAAAAGCACTTGTAAGAATGGAAATTTAAAGTGCAGCTAAAACATTTTAAAATGTTAAACGTGACTTATTCATGTTCAATCTTTTCATTATAAATGATCAAATAAGAAAGTAAATTTTAAGATACAGTAATTACTTATCTTTTATCATGTTCTGTATTTTTAAATAATATCTCTAAGAGAAAGAGTTTTTCATTAATAAGTTTTAAATTTGACCATTGTTCTTGCCGTTTCCTGAGAAAAGATAGAGTGATACGATGAAATTATTGCAATTAGAATTATTCTTTCAGTTATTTTTTTTTAATTTCTGAAATATTAAACATTGTAGGCATACGATTGAATGATATCGTTCAGTTGGCTACAGAAAAAGAAAACATCGAATCAGACTATAGAACACGAACCATCGAATCTCTTGCACGTCATATCGAATCCGCTCTCAGGTTCCTCTTCGTCCTATCATTTCTTACCAGTTTCGCTTAATTAAGCCAAACTGATGGTTATTTTGGTGAGAAATATTATCGGATGGATTTAAATTATTCAGATTCTAACTGAATTATTATTTCCACTTTAAATGGCCTTCCATTCTTGCAGCTTATCTGATCCAGTATCTCACTTTTTTTTTGCCTTAATTTTATTTAACTGCATTATATTACAATTTGCATTGGTATTCTCAAAATTCCACAGTTCAGGTACCAGCATGCAGCCACCTCACGAACTCAATATACATTACATCGAGTGCTAAAATGTCTAAATATGCGTTATTATGAAAGTTATGTGACAGGCCTCTATTTGGTAAAGTATTCATAAATTTTTCTTTCTTGGCTCTTTTCACCTTTAAATGCTATCATATTGCTTAATATGCTATCATTAAAAACTTCATGCCTTCCGAAGAAAGACTTTTAGTTACTATTTAGTTACTATAAAGCTAATCCTTATTTAATTTTACAATATTCAAGATTATGTAGTTATTCAAATTTTATTTCTAAACTGTCACTTGTAGCCATTCATTTAACTCTTTTTTAGGCTACGAAAGTGATGTATGTAAGCAACATATTAACAAATTTAATATTAGTAAATAAATTTTTGGAGACTGACGAATATTCTGTTTATGGTCTTGGCGTGTTACGTGATCTCTTATTTGGCAGATCATGGATGGAATCTGGTAATTTTCCACGCGTTACTTTGGTTAGTTATTTTACGTGTTTATTCATTAACGCAAAAGATTACTTTGAACATTTCAATTGAAATGACGTATACAAGTACGACTAACATTAATGTGAGTTTAGGCTGTTTTTTTTTTTCTTTCAAGTCCTAACGTTCTTGTGAAATTTAAAAAAATTTATTTGTTTTCGTGTTTTATTAAGTGTGTGGAAAGATTAATTCGTGTCTGATCCCTTAAAGTTCATCCAATCGTATTTATTAACCAATCATAAATGAAAATGTTGAATAAAGTGATTTTATTTAAATTAAACAAATTTTTATTTAAATAGTATGTCACCCGTTAGAAATGTTTTGAAGTTAATTTCAGTGTGATTTTGAAGTGCGTGTTCTTGGCAATAATCAACGGCATTCCGTACAAGCATGTTTTTCCAATTTTTATTTTCTTTCCTTTTTGCTCCTCACAAATTATTTAAGAAGTTAATGGTGCTTTAATTCACTTTTTATGTTTTCCTAATGAGAACTATTCCATTTCTCTTTGGCAAGAAATGATCAAATAATTATAGAAGAAGGAAATTTTATATTGAATAGAATTAATAATTAACCGTTACATCTTGAATAATTTTGAATTAAATAAAATTTATATGAATATTGATTTTAATAGAATTTATTACAATCAAAATGAAATGAAGGAATAAATTATGAGGGAAGTGAAAGGAGAAAGAAAGACGAAATAAAATAGTAAAAAAATATAAAATTAAGAAAGATACAAAAAATATTGATGTATTGAATATATCATACATTGAATACAAATATATGAATACAAAAAAATTAAATGCACAAAAAACAACACTGATCACTGTAGAATAATAGTGCCAAACTATTTCATCAGTATTTTTTCGAAATACGACAACTGAGAATTGAATTTGATAAAAGATGATTAGGAGTGAAATAAATTGAAATTGAGCGATGAATGTAATAAAATAAATTTGAAATGGAATGAGACAGAATGAATGAGAATTTGCATTAATGATGACTGAAATGAAATATTTGAGTAATAAAAGTATTTTTAGTGTGTCCTTGTTATAAATATATTCAACGAGAAAATATTCATTTTAATTTGGTTATGGTTTTCGATGTTATTTGTTGCTGCTACATTGGATGCTATCTACTGGTTTAGCATTTCCTTATTTCATAGGTAAATTCACTTATTTTGTTTTTTTTTTGGTGAAATAAATTTATTAATTATTTTCCAAAGTAATGGAAATTTCAAAGAGAAATTAAGTAGATTTCATATTAAATTTCGCTATTCTTTTAAAATTTGCTCCAATTTAATTGACTTTCTCTCAGCGTTTAAAAATCCAATGTTAACTCAAACATCACTTTCTATCAGACTGAGAATTGTTAGCATTGAGTTAGAGCTTAGGTTAGGTTTATCTTTGATTTTTTTTGAAGGCATATTGTATTTGTGATGAAGTTTTGTAATAAATTGTGATTGTTTTATGATAAAATTTGTGATAAATTCAAATTAAGTTCTGTTTTCTTTTTCATTTATTATTTTCTACGGCGATTGCTAGAAAGATATGCTTTCATTATATTTAGTTACTGAGCAGAAAAAAAGAAAAGTAAAATGGAAGATTTTTTGCATAAGATTTCATGAATTATTTATCAACTACTTATGTTTGCTTAAGCTGCGATTTCAACTTTTGATTTTTACGTAGTGTTAAAAATAGACAACGAATTATTCAATAAGATCATGCTTTTTTCGAAAGATAATTCTTCATTTTAAATATATTTGCTTTACAGGGATCGTTTTCGTTTTGTTTTACGTCATCTAGAATTGACAACTGATCCTGATCGACCTGAATTATTTCGAAAGGAAAAGCGAAAACAAGTGGAGCATTTCCTGAAGTCGTACCTCAAGGTAGTTTTATTTCAATTTCTCCTCTTTTTTTTTTATTTTTCATTTGTGAATTTTTTTCCTCTTGAAACATATGCCATATTATCATAAGTACAGGTTGATGGTGTATTAGTATTACGAATGATAGCGCTCCATGCGGGTGTAATGTTTTGCACTGAAACTACGGATGCACTCTGGAGACGATACCTGTCCCAGCATCCGGAAAATCTGATAGATGAAGATTCTTCACTTATCAATTTTGCCCGGTATGTTTCATTTAGTTTGAAAATTTTTTTAAACAATCCAAATTATTTTGCATTTCTAAGCGGAAACATTCACATGCATTATGCCATACAAGCAGTCTGAATCATTAAATCAGTAGTAATTAGTAATACAATTAATCGTTGCGATTTATTTGCTAATATTCTAAGCCTCTGATGTTGATATGTAGGCTTATGTGTCAATCAATGTGCAATCATGTTTTCATCAATACTAACTGATCTGTCATTGTACTGACTGACCAGTCCGGTGATTCTAATTAATAGTCCTAATTAATGGGTGATCCTAATTAATAGTTTTTTCTTTTTTTGTTTTACTTAGTAACCATGGCTACTTTTCTCCCATTCTTAATTGTTAGCACACATTTGTAATTTAAAAGAATGTGCAGCTTATAGCACAAGCTTCATGATTTATGACAGTCTTTTAACTAGGAGGAATGGAATCCTATCACATTGTTGGATCAGATTTAGTATGGAATCAAATTTAACATTGTAAAAAAAATGTCTGTCATTTATTCATGAGTGCAATATTCTTGATGATTTCGTAATTAATAAAGTTATTTATTATTAGATTTACTTAGTTGCAGTTTATTTAATGTATTTAACCTCATTTAGTACCATTGACATTTTGTACTGTACTTTACTATCTCTACGAGTTACATCTATCTCAGAATTGAACTGGTTATTCAAAATTTCAAATGTTATTAGCTTGTCCATTAATTATTATGTTTATATTGATTGTAATGTTTTTTTTCTGTATTTTTAGTAGACAGTACAAAATGTCAATGGTACTCTTTTAGTATTTCAGAACTCAATCGATCCGTCGGAAACGGCAAAACGATGGCAATAATGGCGATAAACAGAAAAGACATCAACAATTATTCGCACATCAACGATTCTCCAAATTATTTTCACAGCGAACGCAAGCATCCCTTCGGTCAGATATTCTTTTGTTTGTTTTTTGAAGATTTCATTCCATCAGAATTTTTTTGTGTCCAATCAATTAATAGCAAATATCATTGAGCTTATGATGGAGGAATGACGTGATAAAAATGAAATATTTAAATATTATTTAAATCCTACTGAAATCCCAATATTTCCTCTTCATTGATCTTTGATCTTTATTTCACATTTTTTCTTAAGTGAAAATTGCTTTACATAATTACTGAAGAAGTAATTCATTAGAGTCTTTAGGCTGAACATTCTACCTCATATTCTAACTAACCATTCTATTGCACTTTCATTGATTTTGAGCTAACACACCCTGGCATATATATACAGTAATTGCAAAAAAAAGAATTAATAACTCATGACTGTATCAAAGTATACGCTTGAAGTATTGAAGTTTTATAAATAATTAAAATGTTTACTATAGTCTTAATCGTGGTCAAGATGCTAATCGATCGCTTGACACGGATCGTCAAAAGCCACAGATACAAATTCGATTTCCAAGGCAAACACCAATGAGGATACAGATGTCGCCAGAATCACAGTTTACAAAGGATAAGGATGAGGATGAAGATGAAATCTTGCAATGCAATGAATCATCAAACCTCTTATCTTATAAATGATCAAACAGTAACACATAATAAAGTGCCAGCTGTTTTGTATTGTATGCATATAAATAACCTATGTGTTATATTGGAGTTGCAAGTCAATTGAGAGAATCATTGCGAGCAGGAAATATCAGAAATCATTCGCATTTCCATTCTAAATCTGGCAATTCAATTTCCAACAATCTGAGAAATTCATAATAAGAGAAATTGATGTGTGTGCTTGTCTCCTTTCTGATTTGACACACTGCCTACTAGATTCGGTGATATTTTTATAATTCCGATTTTTCTTTGAATGGAAAGATGAAATAAAGTTGAGTTTTTAACTCACTGCCACTTTTGCAAATTCTCTGAGACAAAACACAACAAATAATAATGAATAAAGAGAAATCGACAGCATCACTATCTCGATGAAATCAGAAGTTGCATCCTAACTGTCGCTGGAAAGAATAAATCTATTCGCAATCTCTTATCCATGTTTAATCTTGTCCCTTAAAGTGAACCATATTAAGAACTTCAAGCCATACATTTTATTTAATTCAAAATATTCAGATAAAAACCAAACAGAACAAATCACTAAAAAAGTATATAGTTCAAATCAACAGTAAAATTTCGCCAAAAACCGATAATGTAAACTGATATGTTCCATACTTGCTCAAAAATAAACTCCTTGATTATATATAATATATATATCTTCATTACTTATTATTCTATTAGCTCTGTGACTCCGTCATTTTAGTAATAGAATATAATATATTGCTGTCTACGAATATACTTCTTTAGGCTCCTATATGATTGAGCCTAATATTCCAACATAACAATGAAACAAAAAGTACTACAAATATAACAAAAAAATGGAAACGATTGATTCAATTTCATGATCTATTAATATATAACGCGCGTTTTGTGCATTTTAAAACTTCATGTTTCTTAGAAAAGAGTTATATGAACCAATGGTTCATTTGAAATCATATTTGGATCAATATAAATATCTGAAGCAAAAATAGTAAACAATAATACTAACAGGGATAAAATTTTAATGGAGATTTTTGATTATAGAAGGAGATGAAATCTTTTATAATCTTCCGCGAAAAAATCTGCTGTAATCTCCTATCATTTCAAAATCAAATGAATCATTAAAATGTTAAATCAATAAAATCACTAATTCGAGCCGTTAACTGTTGAAAGTAACAAAATATCCATTTTCTTTCACTATGAACAGTAATGCAAAGTTATGGTAGTGAAAAGCAAATTTCTCATTTCCTCACAATGTATAAGGAAAAGCAAATTTTGAAGATAACTCCTAATGATTTTCCAGAATTTAAGATGTTGGTGTTAAAAATGCCACTATTATAAATAAACTAAATTAATTTATTGGATTTCCCACAACAGTATACAATAGATTTAAATTAGAACAATAATATTTAGCATTAGGCTCACAATTTGCAGAAATTCATAATTACTAATATCAATTCAAGTTGCTGCTACACTTGGCGCCTTCCATCGATATTTCCCACTTGCTGTATTAAGAAGCGCAACAGCACTCGCTTTAGGATGCCAAAAATAGCAGGCACGATTCGTACAGCGATCACCAAAACGACAAAGCTGAAAAATTAGTGCCCATATATTATGTGAACCATAAGTACTCAAAAGTCAATCATAGCGATAAACAATTCTAGAAGTATACTCACTGACGCTTCTAAATGACCGCATCTTAATGGAATAAAATGACTAATTTACCTTCGGATGTTTGAAGCTACAGCTCGCATTAGCGCATTTTCCACCATATTTACATGGAACATTCAAAGCATACGAAGCAGTTGGCATAACTGAATTTAGTGGTGCTTGTACTGCTACCTCAGGTGATGGAGCTACTGGTGTTGCTGTAGCCGTCCTAAAATTTCAACTTTCATAATTTCGAAATGTAAAATGGATTTAAAAAATAATGAAAAGTGATATCCGAAGTGTTTCATACACAATGAATATCTATTTAGAAAATCAAGTTTTAAAGCACTTAAAAATTATTTTAATTATTAGAAATCATTAATAGAAACGTAATTCTGTAACCATGTCAAATCGTTGTAATCAAGTATAAATGCTGGTTTATTTATCTGTAGTTGAAAAACATACGCTGTCTTCAAAATGTGTGCATAAACACAGTTCGGATTCAAGCACATACGACCAAATTTGCATTGCGGGTGGATATAAATACACCGGTCACCAAACGAACAGTTCGGAAAATTGCTAAAAAAAGAACTTTAAATCAATTCAGCACAACACTTTGAATTAATTTATCAGATATTAATACCGTCTACTTCCATCATGGATGACAAAACTTTCCATTACTAAGCACTTTAATGCGCACTGTGCGCACTGTATGCAGTGAACCTTAGCACTTCTGGCAAAATTAATTCTAATTATATGCACTCAGCACAATTGATAGAACTATTACTGACAATCGTCTTTATATATAAAAAAAATTAGTTAGTTGACCATCAACGTACAAGACAGTAAGCCAATGAAGTTCTAAAATGCACTAAAGTCACGCAAAAATATATAGTAAAATAAACCAAATTAGTTAAAGTTTCAAATAATAGATTACCTGCACGGTTTACTTGGGTGAATATATACACAGTTTTGAAGAGAACAATTTGGCCAAAATTTACAGCGCTCCATTATTTTTTCAGTCCCTGCTGATGATATTATCGATACATTTGATACCTAAACCAGCAAACAGTTAAAAAGATTGTCTTCTTACTTTAATGTGAAGTATCGTTAGGTGTGACACAAATACATAACAGAAATATCATACACGATCTTCTTAGGTCATCTCTAAATCCTTTCACTTTTTCAAATACAAAAAAATTATATAAATATACAATGGATGAAAAATACCTGAAAACAAAGATTTATTTGAACAAAACTGACATCTTTCTCTTTCTCAATTACAATCAGCAAATGACATAATTAAAAACATAAAGCACCTGTCTACTAACAGCGAATACATTTTGTCGTGGTGCACTATAAAAAAGTTGCGGTGGCGGGGTCTGCGGACGGAATAATGGACTTGATAGAGCTGGAGTTGGCGGCACCTCAAAAAGGATAATATTAAAAAGCTATTAAAATTTGAACTTGAAACCATTATACTTTCGAAGTTTTGAATAAAGATAAGATATCTAACTGAAATATACATTACCATACTTCTAAGCTAAATTGGAATACCAAAGCAATTTTTAAGGAATTTAAAACATTTCACATTTCGCCAAATTTCCATTTCAAATACCTTTACTCATAATACTATCAAGTTGATCTGATTAATATAAAGACTTCATCAAATATTAACAGCCTTCAATTATCAAACCCTAACCTCATCAAAACCTTGACCAACCGTCTGAGCACTGGCAAGAACAGCATCAATTTGCGCTTCTAAAAAAAGAATATCACGTATTGCTATAAATCATTTTGTAAAAAGATTTAAAAAAATTATTTATTGTTTTTGTTTCTTAAAGACTGTGATTTCGGAGGTATTTTGGAATAGAATCTGTATTCGGCGACGAACATATTTGATACCATAAACATACATTTAACTTATACGGATCTCAATTGTTAGCTGTACTTACTTTGATAAATAGTCATTTTAACAAGCTCAAAGAAAGAAGTAATGTGCACAGGTCAACCGGCTCTAGTGCAAAAGGAAGTGCTATATCAAAATAAATCATCTCTCATCCAAATAGATTATAATGATGTTTTGTTATCCTATAAATATCGATGGAACCAATTCAATACTCTTGGCTCCTCCCCAAATCATTATTCCTTTGATATGCATGGAAACATTTGTGTTCGGCGAGCACGCAGTTACTACATCTACATCTGTGCTTTAATCAATTCTGCCCCAGTTCATGCAAATGTACTAGACAATAAAATAAAATAATACTGACCATCATCACCATCATCATCACCGTCATCACTCGTATCTTCTTCCGGCAGTTGTATTTGCAAATCCCAGGCAGGCAATGGTTTTGAATTATTGGAAACCTAAAAAAAACTTTGTTATACATATCTCTAATGTTTTTAACATCTTTTTTAAAAATAAATCATGATAAAGTTTTAAGCTTTAAAGAAAGCAGTCTTTGAAGTATGCAAAAAATATCAAGCTAGTGTATGTCCTACAACAGTTTTTATGCAAAAATTAAACACTCTTATAAAGTTTTTTTTTTTTATTTTTCTCACTTCTCTTGAGACTAACACAGAACTTTATTTTTTACCTCATTAGAATGTTCTATCACGCATGTTTCATTTTCCGTATTGTCAGCAACTGACTTCTCGTGAGACACTTCTCTTCTTACCTGTCTTGGCTGCGATAGATTCAGATGTGCCAAAACTGTAAATGAAGTAGCTGAATCAATAAAATCAATGACATAAAGATCCAATAATAATAAATTACAAACAAAAAAGTGAATATGACGAGGAAAGATTACAGAACTCACTTGGATTCGTCTCATTTCGACGCCTTTTTGCCTTCTTCTTGCTAACAATTTCGACATTCCCTTCACCAATTTTCGTAAGTCGTTTAGCCAAACCGCTGATTGAATCGCCTTTTAAAGTTATGTAAAATTTTGGTTCATCTACAGAACTTGGTCTGAAGAACATTTATTATTAATAATAATCCCGATATTTAAAATTTCTGGGAAGCAACTTGGAAGCTGCAATAAACCGATAAATATTAATAGCTAAATGCTAATATCTCTGAAATGATTATACATCAGCAACGGTTTGAATTTTTTAAAATGTAAACTTATCAAATAAACCAAGCTACATACCCATATGTCCGCATACGTTTTCTTTCCACTTCTGGTTCACTTAAGCTGCATTCATCAACTCTTTGCACGATTGAACGACCATTATTATTTCCACCATTTGATTCATCCGGCATGACAACCAAAGCATCACCAATATCATCGTAAACATCGATTTCAATACCCTGGCACAATATATATAAAAAAATCTAACCAATGAAAGCAATATCATAAGCAATGAAAGTCCAGCATGAGAAGGAAAGAAAGCCTTTTTCTCCACACGTTACTGCTACCTCAGCAAAGTGATGAATTCTTCAAAAAAGCAATAAAAAAAATTAAAAAATAAATTTGCTACTACCTCTTCCTCGTCTACAGCATTCATATCGTTCTGTTTATGCTTTCCATGATCAACTACTTCTTTATCTTTCTTCGCTGTCAATCCATTACCATAGCCGGCAATCTGACTTGCTGTTCTTGTTGTTTCGCCCGCTTCCTTAATCGCTTTCAAGAACAGTGACTTCACGCCGCGAGATTGTTTACTGCAACAAATTTCATTTATTATGAAAGAAAAGTTGGAGTGAATTTGAAAGTAATTAGCAAGAGCTCTGATCTAACAGCAAATAAGCTGGAATACTGCAACAAAAGTGTTTGAAAATCTAGAAAGAAATTCAAAGACAAATTCTCATCATTCAAAAAATTTCATTTCCAACTGACTTACGTTGTTACTTCTTTTTCAGGTAGCTTTCGCTTCACAACTACTTGAGAAGACACGGATTTCACAGTTGGCTCTGGTGGCAGTTTAACAACTGCAGATGACTGCACCTATAATGATTGAAATTTTGTTTCTTAAGGAAATGTGTGAAAATATCTATTTAGTTAACATTTATAACATAGATGCTCTCAACAAAATAGATCCGGTGTGGATAAGTGGATGACTGGATCGATCGTTAATATAACCTTATAGAACATAACTACAAAAATAAGCACTATATAATAACAGTTTTACCGTAGCAGTAAAAAATGTCAGTTATATTATCAATTCAAGCATATTTAACCTTTTTGCTTCTCAAAATGCGATCAGATTCTTCCGCGGCAATGCGTTCTTCTTTGTCAACATCTTCCTCTAGTGATGGTGAACGAGACTGCGCCTTTCGCTTTCTCTGCTGTAGAACATCCCGTCCCGAACCGCTTGATGTCTTGCTAAAAACAAATTCCCGAAATAATTAAAGATAAATTAGCGTAGTAACAGAAACAAATCGATGATAATAAGTGATTGAGAAGTGCTATCCATCAAATCAATCGTATTTTCCGGAACTTTTCCAGAACACGTTTGATGAATTGTGTTTCTAAGGAGATTCATGGATATTTAGGATTCTTGGTCATAAAGCAATTTCTTATGAGTGGAGCGTCATAAACACATAATTCAATGAAAGATATTAAATGAAAATTCTGATTCAAACAAGACTACACTATAGAAAATCCCCAACAAGCAATGCCGAACGATAAATGAGCAGAAACAAAAAAATGTAGAACCTTGTGCAGGTAACTCTTTTGAGTCGTTTATCCTCTTCATCATTTCGTCTTTTAGAATATTTTGCGTCTTCCCTTGCCACTCTTTCGGTCCTACCATCTGATCGCACTGCTAAAATTTTCCGATCATTTCGTTCACCACCATCTCGTTTCACTCCGAAACGTGCAGTTCCTGAAATATCAACATTTTTAGCAATTCTTGTCTTGAGAAACTATGATCATATTTCTCGTTAATAAAAGAAAAGAGAAGCTAAAAATTATCGAAACTAAAAGATTATGAAGTTATAATCAAATACCTCGACGTTCTGGACTTTCGAGCTTTTTTCGACGACGCGTCTTTTCTGGTGGCAAAACAGGAGATTTTGTTCTATGTGATGGCTGAAACGTGCAAGAATTAAATAGTGAAGGAGCATTCATTTTGGTATGATTTCTACAGATCAGCTCATATTCAACTATGATTCAGTAAAGTGAGAATACAACAGATAACCCAAAGATAGCTTCCGCGTTCATAAAAATTTCAAAATAAGAGGTGCAAGTTGCAGATAAAGTGAATCTAGAAATCAAGGAAAAGTGACTTCTAATAATAATTTCACATAAGAAAAAAAAAACTAAAACTATGAGCAAAAAAGATAACAAAATACAAAAAATATCAAGATATGAAGACTATACCTTCGACTTCACAACCTTTGCAATGCCAGTACGCTTCTCATTTTCCCTTCTTTCAGGCTCTTTCATTCCGCGTTGCCTTTCTTTTTCTTTTTTTTCGTGTTCTTTTAATGTACTTTTCGAACTAGAGCTTTCTTGCTTTTTCTTCTTATCCAAACTTTTTTCTTTTTCTCGTTTATTCGCATTTTCCAGTTCTTTTCGATGACTACTGTTTTCGTTGTCCTTCCGTTTGTTATCGTTTAATTCCTGGACAGCACTCGGAACAGTGGCCGATTGTAAACGTTCAAAAATATCAAACAGCCTAGAAACATAATTTCGATAAAGTCATACATTTAGTAAGAATTATGCAATTACTATGTCATCTGATTCCTTACATTGTCTGTTAATTAAGATGATAAACATTTCATAAAATAGATAACCTGCAACTAAGAAAGCGATAATTTAAAACGATTCAAAACTAACCAATCTACAAACTTTTCAGAATTTTTGCCCAGGAAAAGTAATAAATCCTCCTTCATTTGTGTTTTCTCCTTTTTATTCGCAATCATCACCATTATATAGTCTGGCAATTCTTCATCTACATATACACCGAGTTCTTCTAATTTAGCTTTTATAGCAGCCTGCAAAATATTTGAAATATTTAATAATCTCACAGTAGTCGTCTTATTTTCGCATTAGTTGCTTTATTCACAGTTAAGAAAAAGTTTTTTCAAAGTAAGCATTTAGTCAAAACAACACTACAAGTAAAATGTCTCGGATTCTCAAAAGAAAACTTACTCGAATTTTCTTCGAGACTTCTGCACCACCACCTGTCATTTATTACAATTATGTCTGAAAACAAAAACTGGTTCAAGTTAGAGATAATTAAAGTTTGACAACTAAATCGGCAACTATTTGCAAATCCAAATTAAACTCACTAATTTGGATTTGTATTTCAAAAATCCTGTTTTCTAATAACAATCGATCACAGTGCCGCGTGTTACTAATTTTTGCACCCTATGAAAGCGCCTAGAGTCCTATTCTTACTTACTGCTTCAAATAAATGAGTATGCATGCTACAGCGGAATAAAGCAAATGTGAAGCTTGATATCTCAGGCCGTATCATCCTTTCTTCGACTTTGTAAAACGATAATTATCATTTCAAATAAAATGTTTCATTAGACTACTAGGCCCAATGTGATTACTCAATCAGTGTTACATGAGACATGGCAATCATAACAAAGCGATCTACCCAGTCTCCCATTCTTCAAATCTCCACGAGCAAACATGCTGATACATTTTACACTATTTTCACCTACTACGCGTTACAGTCAGCTATTTTCATTTTAACAATAACTCATTTGCCTTCATTATTCTCCTTCTAGTTTCGAAAAAAAGAAAGAGAATGAGAATCAACATGAAACACTATGCAAGCAATATCAATACAGAAAAACAATTGTTCAATTGACATAATTTTCTCGTGAACGGTTTGTATTCATATAAAATTAATCTGGTATGCATTTACATGCAAATGCTCTTAAACAATTTGTAAAAAGCAAAATTAATAGAACAAAAGAAGTAAAAGAAAGGTAGCCTATTTTTTATCAGATAAATTGATAGATTCACATTCAATCCATCAACCAAATTTAATATAACATCTTCTCTGCCATTTATCTCCTATCCATTTGTCAATTAATTAATTTAACACCAAACAGAAACATCACAAAAGCCAGAAAGCCAACAAACATGTTCCCAACAACCCGATAATCCATTCGTGTTGCACAACGTCCTCTTAAAATATAGATAACCCTTCGCTACACGCCAGCCTCTCTTCTTTATCATATTTATTCTTTTCTCATATTCTTCTCACTGCTCTACTTTATTTATACAATGTCTCTTGTAATTCATACCCCAGTATGCACAAAAGCGCCTCTTTGGCCGTTATGTCAATGTATTATTTATGGCTTTCGATTATTAGTGCGATTTTGTTATGCGTGGAATATTATTTATCCATAAATTTTAGATATACAGTATTTAAGGATCATTCATAAAAAGCAATACCACCCGTATTGTTGAGAAAAAGAAGAGTGAATCAATTATCCCTTAATATTATATGAATTAAACATTGAATTTATTATTTGTTTTTTTTTCTTACAATTTTAAGAAATATATAAAATGAAATGAGCAAGGATATTTTTAACGATCACCATCCCGTTTTACTCTTCTCACTGGAAATCGTTGCTTTTTTTTGTATACGTATCACTCATTCTTCGAAATCATTTCATTGATATCATTTTCATGTAATACCTCTTCAAAATCATTATCCCAATCATATGGATCGCTTAATTGTCGATGGTTCGTAAAATCCTGCAATATATCATATCATCTGTTAAATAAATCAAATTTCATATAACACAGGCATGGAATTTAGCTTTGTAATATGGAAATTTTATTGAAATAGGAGAGATGACAAGCAAGCACTTATTCGAAGAGAAATATGAATGATTATGAGAAATAAGAATATTACTTTGTCCTTTAAATCTTCCAATAAATTTGTACTCCAAAATCAAATTTTATCACCAACCAAACTAATCTTTGAAAAAACTGGAGGGCTTTTGTAAATTTATCCATGACGACTTCAAAATAATTGAAATGTTTTAAACTTATTTTGCACTAATTTTTAGTTGGTTTGTTCTTAGTACCTAATACATCTTGAAAACACTGCTAATAATAGCATATCTTAATTAAGAAAAAAATCAACCATCATTATATTCTGAAGTGCTACATAGTTTGGTTCGTCGTTTGCATCCATTGAATATACTGCACGTCCAAATTCACGCAAACCTTCGCCAACCTTTTCTGTTATACTTTGAAAATCATCTTCTTGCTGGAGGAAAATTATTTATTTAATAGTAATTACATGATCAGAAAATGGATTGATTCGATTAACGTGAAACATTTAATTTAACGTGAAACATTTAATTTCATTAGCGTAATAATCCAAGCTATAGTAGCTTGGATTATTACGTTAAATGAGCAATCATAAGCGTATGTGCTAAATATCAAAAAAAGAAAAATACATTGCCATTTTACTGCACATAATTTTTTTCAAACTCCTAAACATTGTTGCTTTTGTTAAATCAAGAATATCTCTAATTTATAATTCCAGTAAGAATAGATTTTTTCGTAATTAACTTACAATGGCTTCTTTTAATGCTTTCACTTCTTCACTTTTCCTTGCTCGTCTCCAAGGTACATTACCAAGTATCATTTCAATTGCTGCATAAAACAAACTTACCAGATCATCTGGCGGTCCTGTAAATGGAGTGAATTGAAACTTCAACTTCAATTTCAACTTCAAATCTTCTTTATTAAATAAAACAATGTATCAGCGATAAAGTGAGTTCTGGATGAACTCTCACCAAGATCCTTTCCTTCATGTGCCCGTAATGATGCGTAAAGTGTGGTACCGCGAAATCCGCAATCTCGTCTTAGCGGTCGTATCTGACCATTTGGGTAGCGGAAACGTCGCGCCAATCCATAATCAACTATCACTAAGCGATGTTTGCTCTAAAGTAGCTTTTATTCATATCAAACAATTCCATCAAAACAAAAAAAAAGCGAAATAAAAATTAACAATCAAAATCATTTTGTATTGTTAAAACATAGAAATTAGTTATTTTAATCTTCTTTTTGTACCTAAAACTATAGGATAAATAAATGTTAAATGAGTTGAATACTCAAACATTTCGCAAATTAAATTCTGGAAATCTTTCTTTCTTCTGCATCAATCACCGTCTGTCTCTTCAAATTTTTGGGATTTTTTTACTGATAATATTGAATTTACCACTTCAGAAAGTCCGAAACATAAGTTGTGTGGCTTGATATCTCGATGAATATAACCGATCTGATGTATATCCCGCAATCCTGCTATTCCCTGCAGCGGATGAAAAAAAATTGTTTATGGACAGGTTCTTTTGTTGTTTAAACTATAAAATCGGCATAACGCTTCAAAAATATATCACTTCAATTTGACGATAACTAAATAAGCTGATAGTGATCGCTCTTTTAGATTACAATTTAGCATGATAAACAAATAAGTAAATTGGAAATGCATTGGATGAAATTACAAAAATGTCGGATATTCTCAACCTAAATATCAATACAAAAGTAATACAATTTTGACCTCATTCAGCTATTCCTACTCTGCGAAAGTAGGAATAACTGAATGAGGTCAAAATTGTATTACTTCAAGCTAGCTTGAAAAATGTATTCAATGATGTGTTGACTAGCCAAGTAAATATTTGTAAATAATTTAATATCCTTCATATTATAGTGCTCTTAATTGTTCATTTATTAATTAACTGGAGTAGAGTTATTACATTTGAAGAATTTTTTGCCGAAGATTTTATCTCATGCATACTTTATCTCATAAATTTATCTTATACAAAAGACTAAGATATACTTAAACCTTTATCTCATACATTTATCTCATACAAAAGTTTTTTATCTCATACAAAAAACTAAGATATACTTAAACCTGTATAATAATACGAGCCATAGTTGGACGTGAAAAACGTTTGAATGGACTTTGCTTTCTAATATCGTTTACATTCTGCGATAATAATTGCATAATTAGATAATTAACTCTGTTCGTGGAACCACTTCCCCAAAGAAGTGGAACATGTGCTCGTCCTTGCAGTCGAAGCAACACCTATCAAGAGTATCGGAGAAATTCACAAAAAAAAGATTAGTAATAATAGATTAGATTACCGTTATTACTAACTTAAATATTCGGAAAAAAAAGAGAGTTCAATAGGTTTTTTGAAACGAGTGCTAACTTTTTGTTCCAAAATCATTCGTTTAGCTCTTTTGCCTTTTCGCATTTTTAATTCTGTTTTTATGGCTACTCCTCTTAATTCTTCTCCTCGACTATCCACAGCAAAAAAAATTTGTCCATATCCACCACGACCTATTAATCCCTGCAAATGGCATACAAGCATTTTCTACTTTTCATTTTTCAGTTTATTATTTTGAAATTAATGCACTATCAAAGAATTCCTTTTCGCCGTTCGATACTGCATAATAAATTCTTCACTACTTTTTATCAATAAATTCTCATGCAGCTCTCAAAAGAATAATAAGTCTTGAATAATTAAAAGGTTGAACAATAAAAAATAATAAAAGTGAGAGATCGTAAAACCGGCACCAGTATCCATTTTTTGTGTGCATTAGAAGTTCTAGCAAAAAAAATCTTGGCTTAGTTTGTCGAAATAAGATTTGTCTGAAATTTTCCAAATAAAGTATACGCTTATAATCCATCGTTTTGCGACGATATCACCAATTTTGAACAATGTTGTCGTATTTCGTTTCTTAAATTTCGGATAAATACGTGCAAGACTCCTAAAAATTTTATTTATAATGCTTGCAAGAATTTATTTATTCCATTATTCTTATGAGTTTTACTTTGGTGTTGAGAAATTTCAAATCTACGGGAAATATTTTGGAGCTAATGAACTTACTTTATTATCACGTGAAAGATGACTTCATTATCCAAACATAATAAAAAGGAAGAAAGAAGCAGCTGATGAAATTCGTCAGCTAAAGATTTCAACATTTCACTTGAAAGTTTGTAGTTTTAATAATGAGTCAGAAAAAAATCGAAATCTACTTCTGAGATATTCGATATGAGGACAAAAGTTCTCGCCTGTTCAATTTCTCATCTTAAAAAAATTCCTATTGTTTGTACCAATATGTAAAATACAGACGTTGGTATATTTTGTGATATTTGTGTCGATATCTGTGTGACATTTGTTTTTGGATTAGAAGAGGCCATT